TGGCCTCACATAGCTGAGCTTTAAGTTCACAAAATGTTGGCCCATTTTACCTGTGAAAAGGTTTCCCAGCCATGGAGGTTAAGAACCCTCCAATTTTATTGCGCTTTCAGAAGACAACTTAATCCTTGTGACATCACATTGAAAATAACAAGGTAAGGGGCCTCCCTGGTGGCCCAGGGGTTAAGTCTCAGTGCTATCACTATGATGGCCTGAGTTCCATACCCAGGGAGCTGACCCACATGGCGCAGCAGACCTCTGCTGTCTCACCTGCTGCTCCCCTCAGCTGTGTGTTTCTTATTAGTTTATTTTTACATTATTTTGTGCCTTTTTTCATCTCAGGTGTAATCCCCGTGGACTTCCCACCACCAATTCACCTGTGTGCCATCACCATAGTCCCATGTACTCCTTCCCCCATTTTTGATCCCATTCCCCACTTCATCTCCATAAAATGTCTCTGGTATATAGTTGTTCATTGTTTTTCCTTTATTACAACTGCTCCCCCACAACCCCCGCCCTGGGTCCTTTATGCTTCTGCTATGAGTAAAAACCATCTGGTGTTTCTCTTTTTGGCTTATTTCACTCAGCATGATCCCTTTCAGCTCCATCCATGTTGCTGCAAAAGGCATGAATTTATCGTTTTTGATTGCTGAGTAATATTCCGTTGTGTACAGGTACCACATCTTGTTAATCTAGTCATCTACTTTTGGGCATCTGGGTTGATTCCATGTCTTTCCTATTGTAAATAAAGCAGCAATAAACATGGGGTGCAGGTATCTTTTTGAATCCGTCTTTTTGTGTCTTTTGGGTAGATACCTAGGAGTGGGATCACTGGGTCATATGAAAGCTCCATGTTAAGCAGTTTGAGGAACCTCCAAACAGTTTTCCATAGTGGTTGTACTAGTTTGCATTCCCACCAGCAGTGCAGGAGAGTTCCTTTTTCTCCACATCCTCGCCAACATTTGTTGTTGCTAGTTGTTTGAAGATGTGCCATTCTCACTGGGTGAGGTGGTACCTCATTGTGGTTTTAATTTGCATCTCCCTTATTACGAGTGATGTTGAACATTTTTTCATATGCCTGTTGGCCATCTGCATTTCCTCTTTGGAGATGTGTCTTTTTAGCTCTTCTGCCCATTTTTTGATGGAGTTGTTCACTTCGTTTTTGTTGAGTTTCATCAATTCTTTGTGTATCTTTGTGATCAATCCTTTATCGTTGGTATTGTATGAGAAAATTTTCTCCCAATCAGTGGGCCATCTGTTTGTTTTGGGAAATGTCTTTTTGCTGTGCAGAAACTCTTTAACTTGATGTAGTCCCAGCTGTTTATCCTTGTTCTAACTATCACTGCTTTGGGTGTAGTATCTTTAAAGATGTTACTGAGGTGCATGTCGTGTAGTGTTTCGCCCACCTTTCAGCAGTGTATTTCAATAGGTCTACCTGTTCTGCCCCCTCATCTGTCTCTGGTGAGTCCTCTTATCCCCTGCACCTCTGGCCTACACCCAATTCTTGTATGAATAAATAAAAATAAATCTTAAAAAAAAAAAAAAAAAGACAACCAATTAGGAAAAGAAAACAAGGCAAAATAAAAAAGTGTCAAAGAAAGTGAGAATAAAAACATTTAATAATTCTTCACAGCAATGGTGTAACTTAAAAAAAAGATGCATGAAGAAAAAATGGCGAACTTAAAAGCTCAAACAACCGTTCAAGTTAGAGTAGTAGAACAGTAGAAACAGGACTTAGCGAGTACTAGTAGGCTCTTACCTCTAACTGTAAGGCATCTATTTTCTCTTCCTGGCAAGTATCACCCTCACATTCATACTGTACTATTTTTCCATCTGTTTTACTTGCAACCAGTCGATGGACATAATTATCTAAAGAAAAGAATGAGTCAACCAAAATGTGTTTCTTCAGAATTGAAGGTTCTTCCTACCCTTTTAACTTTGACAAAATTTTTGCTTTTAAGAATCTAAATTAAAGACCATTCAGTATTTTCTTTAAAAGTGGGTTAAATCACTTGAATTTTAAGCAGAGCAAGAGACCGAGAAGGCAAGTGTGGGGCACTGACTCCGTAACGTGTGGCTCAGGCCCCCCTCGGAAAGGGGCCCCTCAGGGCTCCAGGAGATGGGCGTCTGCTCCTGGGCACGGAAGACGGCAAGTTACAGACAGCCGCGGCGGGTCCTGAGCCCACAGCAGCCCTGAGCGCAGCCTCACCTCCAGCGTAGTCCCACACGCGGTGGTTGGTGAGCTGCATGGCGTACGTGTGCTGGGTTTCCTCGAAGTGCTTATAAGCATGGCGACTCACGTATCGTCCACACCCGATGTGACCACATATTAAGCAAATCCAGAGGTTCTGTCAAGAAGGTAAGATCTTAATTAAAATTCAAAGCTAATAAAAAAAATAAATTCAAAGCTAAAAGAAAAAAAGAAGGATCTGGCTCACTCAGGGTGGGAAGGAGCCTGATACAGGATGAGACTTATGGGTGACTCCACAGGACAGCTGAATAAATACGTGTTTAAAACCCAACAGACAGAGATGCTTTTATAGGTCATTTGTTGCTCTGATTTCTGCAGGGCTCTACGTAAAGAGCAAGAGAAACATTCCCTGTGTACTGAAGTACGAGTCTTTTCAAAGCACAGTGACAGCAAAAAGTATTCTTCGGAGGAAAATAACCTGTGCATTTATATTTCTTGCCTGACCCTAGGCAAAAAGAAAACCAGTCTCATACAGAATTAACGATGCAAAGGGCAGAAAAGAAACTGCAGATAGAACAGCTAAAGCTGAGTTTGCCATGTTTCTCGTTGCCACTACTTACCTCCTGAACACCACACTCGAAACACTTGTTTTCTTCGACTGGCTCTGGCGTCTGGCAGTACCGGCACACAGGACACCTGTCCCGGACACAGAGAGAATGCTGTGGGTCACTGTGTCAGACAGCTGTTAGCGACCCAGAGCAAAACAGAACAGATGACCTCCCTCACTTCGAAGTTTCCCATAGCTGAGGCTATATTCAGAAGACAAACGTTTTCAAGTTATTATCAAACATAGTGAAAAAGCAAAGTAAGACCTTGTAAAACAGAGGAAAGGGAGGAGTCTTGATCAGCCTGCTTTGTTCCACTCTTAAAATTTAACCAAATACGGGCCCTCCCTGGGGGCGCAGCGGGTTACAGCACAGCACTGAGAAGCTAAAGCCACTTCCGCAAGAGTTCGATCCCCGCCTGCCCGGGAGGTGACCACAGGGCGCGGCAGACCTCTCCTGACCCGCCCGCTGCTCCCCTCAGCAGTGGACTTCGTCGATCTGCCTGGTCTGTTCCCCACTCTGTCTCTGGTGAAACCTCTTACCACCCCTGCACCTCTGGCCTGTACCCCAGTTCTGTATGCATACGTAACTCTTAAAAAAAAATCCATTAACCCTTTTCTATCATACTTAAGACAAAGTAACACTAAATATTAGCCATGAACATTTTTGTGGGAATGACAAAAGTAGGCTACAGTTGAGGCTAATTTGCATCAAGATGAAAAAATGCTCAAGCTATCATTTGTATTAGTTTGCTATTCAACTCAGTAAATAAGAAAAAAATAAAGGAAATAAACAGGTAGAATACTAAGTTCTCATCACAGATAAGGTAGCTCTAGCTATGTTTCCTAAAGGACTTAGTCCGTTTATTTAGTATCAAAAAAGAAGACAGGGACAAACTTGAAGAATAACTTATTTCCTGCCTGACCCTGGACAAGTGAACAGCAAGGTAGAAACTCGCTCTATAACATCCCTCCTTGTAGCTTGTGTTGGCAGCAATAGTAGTAGGATAAGAAAACAATAAACTAATTCTAATTTTCTACATTGTGTCAGAATGATCAAAAGGTAAAATGATTTAATAGATGCCATCTCATCTATTAAAAAAGAATTAACAGTTTACTAAATTCTTCCTTTTCACTTACCTTGTTTTCCTGATGAGGTAAAATCTGGGGAACCTCCCCCAAAAGTTCTTTCCTCACATCTTCCCAACACTATCTTTCAAGACTTGGTGCCAGTGCAGCCTCCTCCATGCAGCCCTCCCCCGTGGGACATCCCCTCTGTCTCCTCCAGTCTCTCCCTTGCATCTTCTATCCTGTGTGTACTGTGACTCCCTCAGCAGACTGACCTTCCCTGAGGAGGACCTGTTTAATTCTCCCCACCATATAGTAAAACCCACTTGCTGTAAGGAAGCCATGGCATTACAGGCAGCTGCCAGGGGTTGAGTTCTAGTCCCAGTTCTGGCATTCTCTGACTAAGACATAAGCACACTCGTGTCCTCTTTTTAGTTTAAGTATTGTAGGTAAGCGACTCTGTAGGTTTCAGGTGTATAGCATCTCACCTACCACCAAGCATCCAGCTCATCTAACCCCCTCTACCTGATGCACCAACAACCCCTGACTTCCCCCTCCACATTCTGTTGTCAGAATCTAAAGGTTAGTTTTTGTTGTACATGCTAATTTTCACCTCTGGGCCTATTTCCTCCTCTGTAAAATAAGGAAACCAGACAAGAGACCATCTTGTCCCAGAATCAACTGATGACTCTCATTTTGCTAAAATAAACTATGGCAAACCCAGGATTTATTTATCTGCCAACAATGTTTACTTAGTTCCCACCATGTACCTGGCATGTGTGGGGGTGGAGCAGTGAGCAAGCAAACAAACCCCTTCTGTGACTAACTTCTGACCTGTCACCTCCACACGCCATCCTCTCCTGGGCTCCCACTTAGCCTGCGTCACCTCTACTCCTCCTTAGGATGCCACATCTGAGACGGCCCTGCTGTGTGGGACCCTGGTTCTCCTCTCAAAACGCTGCACACGGCTCCTCAGCAACACCTGTCATGGCTGTGACTTCACATTTATTTGTGGGAATATTTATTTATTTTAAAGATTCACTCATTAATGCATACAAGAACTGGGGTGCAGGCCAGAGGCATGGGGGGTGAGAGGATTAATCAGAGACAGAATAACAGGCAGATCTACTGAAATACACTGCTGAGGGGCGTAGCGGGTGAGACAGGAGAGGGCTGCCGCGCCATGTGGGTCAGCTCTCTGGTAGGGGATCAAACTCCTGCCACAGCAGCTGCAGATAGCTTCACAGTGCTATGCTTTAACCCACTGCACCACAGGGAGGTCCCTATTTGTGGGAATATTTAACTCCCTTTCCCCTCTGCCCTGGAAACCCATCAAGCCAGCTTCTGAACTACCCTTCTGGCTGAGACACACAGTGCAGTTTGCCAAGGGAGCAATCAAATCAATGTGCTTTGTCTGTAAGTCCCTAACGTGTCGGGCCCAGCTGCACTGGGAAGAGGTCACTCACTGCGGGGGTAGGTGAGCCTCGTGTTCAATGATGTTGTCACTGCTGCCCCACCGAGCCATCAACAAGCACGGCAACCTAAAATGTTAGGGTGCTGCAGCCCAGCTGCTAAGAAAGCCAAAGTCAGCAGCAGCCTTCAGCACAGGGGACTCAGGCCTGGAGACCTATACACCACATCAGTGTATGCGCCTCAAAACTTTTCTCCCCTCTCTCGTTCTCTGGTTCATGGATGGAAAGAACGACATGTGTGGCTTTAGGGAATCCACCAGGGCTAAGAATCTGCATCCTGAAACTATGTGGCTCAAGAATGCTGCCCCATGTGTCCAAGGGAGAGGAAAGGAGGTGGCCACTTTACTTCAGGACCACTTTACCTCTGTGGTGTTGCGGTTCATAAAGTCAAATACTTGGAGTGGGCATTTATGGGTGGTGATTATTTTAAATTCTGGGAAGGGGCAGTGTGGGGCTCTGAGAGCATGGAACCTCGCCACACTCACGTCGTGTCATCCCAGCGCTGCAGACACTGGCTGTGGAAGCTGTGGTTGCACAGCGTGGTGAGGATGCCATTCACAGACTCGTCCATGCGCTCCAGACACACCGTGCATTTGGGGAGCTCGGTCAGATCCATCACTGGGAGGCTGGCGCCCTGCAGGGAAACACTTTGTGTAAGTCTCTTCATCCGCCAGTTCTAACATACATTTTTTTAAAACAATAGTTTTCCCAGTGCGGGTTCTGGACATTATTGCTCTGTGCAAATAGTTTACACCACTGAGATTTTCATTCATATGACAAATACCAATCAAGCACCTCCTGTTTTCCCAGCACTTGCTGGGCATGGGGCCACAGGGGACAGGGAGTGCACGAGCCAAGATTCCTGCCCTCGTGGAGCTGACAAACTAGGAAGGTAGACAGCTGCCGAAACCTTAAAAGAGAATCTAAAATGTCTCTGGGCAACTGGTGCTAAGGGTCTGCGGCTAGAAGAGAAGCAAAGGAAGAGGAGGGGGACCTGAGCGATTGCTCCAGAGCAAATTCAAAATGCACTTGTTACTACATGATGGGAGTATGGGGCCTCCCTGCTGGCCTTGGACTTAAGTCTCAGTGCTGTCACCACTAAGGCCTGAGCTAGACCCCCGGCCAGGGAGCCGACTCACATGGCACAGCAGCCCTCTCCTGTCTCACCTGTTGCTTCCCTCAGGTGCATTTCAGTAAATCCACTTGTTTTGCTCCCTACTCTGTTTCCAGTGAATCCCCCTCCTGCCCTGAACCTCTCTCATAAACCCCAATTCTTCTATGCAAAAATAAATAAATCTTTTAAAAAAATGGGGCATCGACAGCAGTGATTTGATTCATTTATTTATACATATAAACAGAGTTCCTACTGCGTGTTCCAGACACTGTTCTAGATGTGGAACAATCTGGAACCCCAAAAATGTCAGCCCCTGTCTCCCAGGATTTAGAAACTAGTTGAGAGGCAAAATATTAAAATATTTTTATCAACAGTTTATTAAGTGTTGTGAAAGCAAAGCACAGTAAACTATAACGAGGGTGAAACAGGGCTCCAGGGGGTCAAGAAAGAGACCCCGCAGGCCCCACCCAAGACACCCCTTTAGTCCTGTCTGCTGTAAAATTAGTAGGAATAATTTAGGCAAGGTTTGGGGAGGCATGCACTTGAGTGCATGCAGAGAAAGATCATATTACTCTAGAAATGGCTCAACATACTATGTGCGTTTAGAGAAAATAACCTTTAAAACAGGCCCTGCACAGCCCCTCGCAGGAAGGAAGCTTGATTTTATCACATAACAATGTTTGTTTTATCTAGTGATAGAACAACCTAATTGGAATCTATTTCCATCAAACTGCTTTTATGGTAAAAAACCTTTGAATCTACTTTAAAAGGAAGGGAACCGTAACATTCTAAGAGCTGAATCCACTACGTTCTAAAGTGATTTAAATGAACAGGAAAGACTCCCACTGAGGGTAGCAATAGATCAGAGCAGTCACAAATTGCTATCAAAATAGAACCAAGAACTGAGATGGGGATTAGTGTTAATATGTAAAACAAAAATACTTCTTTTATGCACCAGGCAACTTTTTATTGACCTGGAACAGGTGAACACTCAATTTTAAAAAAGCTTTCTTATTTTTGGCAGTGGGGGGTAGAGAGGACAGAACAACAAATTTTTTAAATTAAGATAAAATGTGCAGAGAATAAAATGCGCCAATCTAGAGCGTGCCTTAAGTGGTTTTTGGCCTCTTTACAAAATTGTGCAACTCTCACCACTACTAACCTGGCAAACTCCTCATCAGCCCTAGAGGGAACCTCACAGTCATCAGCAGTCATTCTCACGCCTCTCTGCTCCCCACCCCTGGCAATTGCTGATCTTCTGTCCCTGGGTCAGTCCCTTCTGGACATTTTCACAGATCTCTTAACTTGGTGTACCCCTGACAGAATCATATCAAACAGAGGAATTAGATTCACACTTACATCTTCAGATTTCAGCACCTCAGCCCTTTCCACATAGACCAGCTGGCAAACGTCATCTTCTATGGAGTTGAACTGGCGGCCGTTACAGGCCATATAGAAGCTGTCTGCATCAGCCTAGAGCCACCAAAGGGGAAAAGGGAAAGTTAAGGGATTTGAGAGCTGCTTTCTCTTCACGGTGCATAGCTTCATTTATTCCCTTCCCTTTTAAAGTTTATGCTCAGGGGAGAAAGCAACGGCCAGAAGTAACATCTATTGAAGTAGGTTCAAGGCAGATGGGACTGTGGGTCAGTGTCCTCCATCGGGCTGTTTCCAGACATGTGACAGTTTTACTTGAACTGGCAGGAGCTGCCCAAGTGCAGTAAGTGGACGCTTGTAGAATTTTAATACTCAACCTGCGGTGGTAAATGTTTCCCTTGATAATCAGGTTTTCCCCCTCTTGTCAGCACTTTTCCAGCAGCTGAAAATAAACACTTATTTTTGCAAAGTTTGGAACCAAGCCATCTCTGGCAATTGTTATGAAAGAGCTCTTTTTTAAAAACGTCAGCCATCCATGTTAGAAAAAATAAAGGGCCAGTGAAATGGTATGGAGTGAAAAGGCAAGTCCCTCTTGTCAATTAACCAAGCAATCATCAGACACGAAAGCTAAGTTTCCCATCGGGCGGTTTGAAACAAACTGGCTTGCAAAGCAAAAGGCAGAACTCTCGGCCACGACCAAGAGGTCCAAGATGATCTAGCCGTTGAAATATGAATCATCTTCCCTTGGAGGAAGAGACAGGTGCGATGAGGGTCAAGAGTGCCCCGCAGTTACTGCCGAGAGGCGCAAGTGAAGGCAGGCGCAGGTACCTTAAACCCGGAGTCCAGCCTCAGCAGAAAGTAGCAAAGAAGTGAATCTAGTTTTTAAACGCGGCAAGCTTTCGAGGCAGCAGGAGAAAAGGCTGGCCTGGATTTTACTTCCTCTCGGGCAATCGTTCAGACACAGGAAGCTGAGCGCTCTGGTCTACCGGGCAGCCAAGCTGCTTGGGGGAGGCAGAGGTGCTGCCAGCGGAAAGGCTGCACCGCCAGCCTCCAGGCAGAGCTTCAGGTCTGCACCAGGCAACACCAGCACGGCTGCCCCTCCCAGGGCTCTGGGTCTTCCAGACATGTAAGCTTTGCCGCTTTCAACTTCATGCCAATGATGTCATCCGAGTGTAGATGCCTAATTATTTATGCTTTCTTACTAGGACTGAGTGAGCTTAGCAGCTGAGGAAGGATGATCAATTCTAAACAGCTGAATTTTTTTGAAGGGGACAGGCTTTCCTTCAGGAAACCACCCGTATGTTAGGTGGGTGCAGGCGTCAGAACATGAACATGTGAAAGCCAGTTCTCAGATATTCCTTCTCTTCAGTACAACACCAAGAGCCAAAATGGCTCCCCTCTTCCTCAGGAGCAGGCTTTTCTTGAAATGCTGTTGGTGAATAAGCAGCACACAGCAGACACACTGCCAGGAGTGACTGCCAGTCAGCTCTTCAGGGCCTCCGAGCACCCAGAGCTGGCTGCAACAGCGCCCACTGAGGAAAGGCAGACCCCTCCCAGGACCTCCTCAGAGGAAGGGACAGGGCTGTGTCACACTGGTCATGGGGCAAACCAGCAGTGTCAGATACTGTTCCTTTGGGGGGTGACGGGACTGTTTATCTATACCAGAGACAGTCTGAACACACTGATCTCATCTCTAAAATCTCGGTCCTGGAAATGTCGCTTCACTCGTTCAAATGTGCACTGCGCACTAGTGTGTGCCAGCCACTGCGCTACACACCGGGAAGGGAGCAGAGAACAAAATGCACATAGTACTGACTTCAACCCACCCGTGAAATGCAGATTACAAGCTAACGGTAGGAAACACAGGGAAAACAGCTCTTTTATTTCAAATGCCTGCATTGTACAGAGCTCCGCGGTTAAAAAACCCTGTTTTTTTTGTTTTTTCCTAGTCTTCTGTTGTCCCTTCATTGCCACAATGACTAAATACAGTGTTGAGAGTGTTTTTACTTCCCAGAGGGGTCTGCTGGGCCGTCCTGAGCCAACACTCTCGCGTAAGGTTATCTGTCTTTCGCTCCTACGAGCTACCAAAGGAAACCCCCTTCCGCTTCCGTGTCCCCGTAAATACAAGGTCCTTACTCAAAGACCAAGGTTCCTACAGGCCACAGAACAATTCTATAAGCACATCTCTTTATAATACCCCCAGCATAAAAAACACTGAAGCCAACAAAAATTCAAGAAGTTATAAAACATCTAGAGGAGGTCTATCTGTTCTTAATAAAAATTCTCCTGTGAGAAAAAGAATGGAGGCAGAACACAGTTAGCCGCCCAGGCTCTGAAGTCAGGCTCCCAGGGTCTGCATTCTGACTACAGCTGTGAAACTTTGGATGAGTGACTTATCTGTGCCTGTTTTCCACAACTATAAAACATGAAGTGACACCACCTACCTCATGGCATTGCTGAGAAGACTGCAGGAGCTAATGTACTTAACACAGGCCTGGCATCTAAAGAGAGCTCAGGAGGTGGAAGCTGTGGGTCCCTGATATCAGTGAGGGCCCAAGAACACCTAACAGCTTCAAGTCTCATATCAGAAGGCTGTTCTTAAATCCCTGGTAAGGGCCTCCTTGGTGGCCACGGGGAGGCTCGGCACTCTCATAGCTGTGGCAGCCTGAGTTCTAGCCCCAGCCAGGGAGCTAACCCTATGGTACAGCAGACCTCTCCCATCTCTCCCACTGCCTCCACAGTAGTTTATTTCAGTAAATTCACCAGTTCTGCTCTCCACTGTGAATCCTCCCCTTGCCCAACACCTCACCCCAGATCTTCTACATAAAAAAACAAGACAAACAAAACAAAAATAAAAATAAAAATAAAAAAATCCCTGCTAAGATGGCCCTTGGACCTTAGGGTCCAATATTAGCAATAAATAACACAATTCAAGACACCAAGGTCAAGGGTCTGGTCTCTACGGGGAAAAGCATGCAACAAGCCATTTCACAGTCTCAGAAAACAGCCAGTTGAGCAACCTGTACTTGGTCAAAAGACAAAGGTGGAGACATGGTGCAAAAGTACAAAGAAAATCCATGAAGAGTAACACAAAATTTCAACTAATGTTTCCTACACACTACAAAGGACAACATTTGCTACAGGGAGGTTTGTAGGTTTATTAGACAAATGAAGTCTCAAGCTATTAAACCTTAAGCTGTGTTTAAAGTCTAATACTTTATCAAACTTTTCCCCCCAAAATTGGTTTCTGTGACTTTTCCTGTATCAGTTGCTGAATGTCCCTAATTGTTCAGCAGAAGCTGTAACTAAGATACTGCTGTTACACAGCTTCCCTCCCCACACTTCATTCCAATCCTACTAAGAGAGGAATACGTCCTAACAACTAAAACTGCGGACACAAATTCCAGGTCAGTCACTAATTTCTTGCTATGTAACCCTGAGCAAATCACTAACCTCTCTGTGCAGCTTCCTTGTTTACACAAGACTACTAACACGGGACCTGTCTACCTCTCAGCTTTGCAGAGAGGACTAAGTGAGACATGCATGGCAAGCACTTGTTGCGATGAGCAAGCAATCAAGAAAGGTCGTGTATCATCATTATCAAAACACACCCTGCCAGATTCAAAGCCTTAAGATATCACCTGCCAGTTTGCAAAGCACCTCCGTGCCTTTGGCCTCCTGAGAATGAAAGTAGCTGTTTTAGTGTTTTTCCTTTCTCAGTGTCAACTTGTGCAGTCTTCGTCTGTAGCAGAGTTGAAACACATTTAAACATCTCCCTTAATGGTGAGGTGCTTTGTAAAGAGTACAGATAACAACTGAGTAGAGAACAACTTGTACGCAGAACTCTACAGGTTCTCTTTCTGTGGCCCATGGGACAGGTACAAATATAAGTCAACTCTCACTGCTCTTAATTTCCTGCCCCCGGCCAACGAGTGGCTGCTGTTTCTGTCACCTGGGGATTTCTGCAATGAAGAAGGAGGAGCTGACATGTGGGCCTTAGGTAACAGGCTCCCTTTCACCCACAAATCTCAGTGCTTGGTCAGAGGCAGTGGCCAATGATACAAACAGGCACACCTATTTCTCTGTCAATCTGAAAGGCTGAATTATTTATCTGGGGCAAATTCAGGAAGACTGTTTATCAGTGAGATGAGGAAGAAGTAACGGTGACAAAGCTGCATTTCAAAATCTAGTGAAACTCCAAAGCATCCAGACTAGTTTAAAAAATTGAATAAGGCCTCCCTGGTGGTGCAGGGGTTAAAGACAGCACTATCAAGCTATTGCCAGCCACTACATCACACAGCAGCCACTACATGGCACAGCAGAGTCTCAGGTCTCATCTGCTGCTCCCCTCAGCAATGCATTTCAGTAGATCTGCCAGTTTTGCTCCCCACTCTGTGTCTGGTGAATCCTCTCACCTCCCCTGTACCTCTGGCATACACCCCAGCTCTTGTATGAATAAATA